CTTTACTGTAGTTCTTCAAGGCAAGGTGGCTTTTACTAACCACACATTTACACCAAACGCTTTCCTTCCTTCCTTGTAATTGGGTTAGAATTCCTCTGTTAAGCAAATTGGTTTCTAACTTACACAGCTTTCCCATAATAAGACTACAGGGGGAAAGAATGTGTGCCTCCTGTACCTGGAATGGAAATTTAGGAATGTTAAGAGAACCGTAAGCTCAAGAGTCACTTATGCTGGGACAAGTCATCCAGGTGGGGCCTAATACCTAACCGAACTGCAATTTCAACCTCTCCCAGAAATGTAGTCTCAACTGGTCGGTTAGGAAATTTCTGGTCAGCACCAAGGCAGTAATCGTTCAGATGGGCTCTTTTCGCACCCCAAAGGAAGGTGAGGTAATTGGCATGATAAGCCTCCACTGCTCTTCCCCCTAAAGGAAAGTGACCCTCCCTGAAACAATCCTTTGCTTTCTTTTGCTAAAATTTCCTTGCTCCACAGCCCTTTTGTACAGCTCTTTGGAGCTCCTTTCTGATGTGGTTTTGGGGTGGTGGGGGTCCAGAGCTGAAGGCCAAGAAAGAATTCTTAAGACATTTTTGGTGCAAAAAAGTGATTTTATTAAAGCATGAGGATAGGACCCACAGGCAGGAAGAGCTACACTGGGGTTGTAAAGGATGACTGATTATATACCTTCATGTTGAGAGGGGGTGTGGGACAGCCTAAGTCTCTAAGGAATTTGGGAGCAAGGTTTCCAAGACCTTGAGGGGCTAGCTGCTGTTAGGAAAAGATCATTTACTACTGGCTAGTAAAATGTTAGTCATGAGACCCTTCAGGTGAATAGCAGTGGGCCATATGCTTGGAAGATGATTCCTAACATATACCTTGGGGGGGTAGAGAAAAAGGAAGTTTCCAAAGGGATTTTTACAGGGTCCTGGAGATCAGGCTAATGTCAAGCTAAGGTTGCCTTTCGCCTCTAGCAAAGTATGTGCCCCAATTTTTTCCCTATATTTCTTTTGCCTTTGTTCTCCACATCAGGATGAGTCATTCAATAAGGTGCTATGACTTTGGGCTTACATACTATTTTTAGCTAAAACAAAGGAAGAACAGTGTGGGGCTGGCAGGTTATGGAAAGATGACCAGGAAAAGTATAGTAAACAAAAGTAAAGTTTGTTATGCAGAGTTAAGTTTGTGCCTTCTCCATTGATAAAAAATAATAATCTTTATGCCAAAGAGTCATCTTTTAGGGTGGTATATTCTGGTCTCCTATAAGAAAAAATCCTGTTAGCCTAGCTCGAATCTCATGACCATCATTTGGCCCAGTAGAGGAGATTGGGAACCTTGATGGATAACTCCACCAATACTGCATAATAAGGGAGCATGAGGCAAGCTGAGGGAAAAATACAAGCTGGCATATCCCACTCCCCAGGTGGAATATGTGTGATATTCCTCAGATGCTCCTGGCTACCCAAGAACAAAGGAAAGAGGTTTAAGTGCTTGCCATGGTGATGTGGGAAAGTAAGGCAAAAGCAAAATTAAATTCCCTTACTGTAAGCAGCCCATTGACAAGTCTTTGAGACCAGCAGAGTGATCTCCCTACCGGAGCTCAGCTGCCTTGATGATGACACTTTGCTTTGGGCAACAGGAACCTTGGCTTAACATTTTCCAAACCTAGGGGAGCCTGGGTGGCTCAGTTGGTTAAGTGTCTGACTTTGGCTTAGGTCATGATCTCGTGGTTTGCAAGTTCAACACCTCAGCTGTGCTGACAGCCTGGACGCTGTTTCAGATTCTGTGTCTCCCTCTCTCTGTCCCTCCCGGGCTCGTGCTTTGTCTCTCTCCGTTGCTCTCTCACTCTCAAAAATTACATAAACATTAAAAAATTAAATAAAACAAAACATTATCCCAACCTCCAGGATCCTGTAAGTCTACTTCCTTTATGTCAAGTGCCCCAGGATATATGCTGGCCATCATGCTCCAGGATTATAGCCCCTCTGATATCCATCTGAAGGGTCTCATGACTGAGGTTTTATTAAATGGTAATAAGTGGTGTTTCCCTAGCAACAGCTAGCCCCTCAAGGTCCTGGAAATCTTGCTTCCAAAATTCCTTACAGACTCTATCCCTGATCCCTTCCAACCTGAGAGTATATAATGAGTTACCCTTCACGACCCCTGTGCAGCTCTTCCTGCCCATGGGTCCTGTCCCCATGCTTTAATAAAATCATCTTTTTGCACCAAAGACATCTTCAAGAATTCTTTCTTGGCCATCAGCTCTGGACCCCACGAACCCCCCCATCACCCCAAGACTTCACCACTGCACACAAAAAGGGGAAGAATAGGAAGGGGAACATGAACCCCAATATTTATGGCAGCACTATCAACAATAGCCAATGTATGGAAAAACCCAAATGCCCATAGATGGATGAATGGATAAAGAAGATGTGGTATATATACACAATGGAGTATTGCTTGGCGATCAAAAAGAATGAAATCTTGCCATTTGCAACTACGTGGATGGAACTGGAGGGTGTTATGCTAAGCAAAATTAGTCAGAGAAAGACAAATATCATATGACTTCACTCATATGAGGACTTTAAGAGACAAAACAGATGAACATAACGGAAGGGAAACAAAAATAATATAAAAACAGGGAGGGGGACAAAACAGAAGAGACTCATAAGTATGGAGAACAAACTGAGGGTTACTGGAGGGATTGTGGGAGGGGGGATGGGCTAAATGGGTAAAGGGCATCAAGGAATCTACTCCTGAAATTACTGTTTGCAGTATATGCTAAGTAACTTGGATGTAAATTTAAAAAAATAAATTAAAAGAGGGGGAGAAGAATAGGGGCACAGTTGATTGAGCATCTGACTCTTGGTTTTGGCTCAGGTCATGATCCCAGGGTTGTGGGATGAAGCCCTGAGTTGAGCCCTGTGGAGACCTGTGCTGAGTGTGGAGCCTGCTTAGGACACTCTCTCTCTCTCTCTCTCTCTCTCTCTCTCTCTCCCTCTCCCTCTCCCTCTCCCTCTCCCTCTCCCTCTCTCCACTGTTTGCACACTCTCTCCCTCTAATAAAAGGATAGTTCCTGACAGGAAATGAATATGCAGCTATTCAAATGGGGTTAAAGAAGTGGATGTGGGAAAACCCAAGCAACAACATAAAGCTCTTATACTAATTGGGCTTAAATCCATTTTCCTCCTATACTGTTTTGGACCATCATCTTTTTATTTTCTTTTTCTTTTTTTTTATGTTTACTTATTTTTGAGAGAGAGACAGAGCATGAGTCGGGGAGGGGCAGAGACAGAAGGAGGCACAGAATCCAAAGCAGGCTCCAGGCTCCGAGCTGTCAGCACAGAGCCCAATGCGGGGCTTGAACTCACAAACTGTGAGATCATGACCTAAGCTGAAGTCAGACACTTAACTGACTAAGCTGCTCAGGTGCTCCTATCATCTTTTAACACTTTAACAAAAGGAACTTTCAAAGTTTTTTAAATGGGGTATTTGTGAAAACTTACTGTGGGTGACCAGAAAAGACCATTCTGAAATATGACTATAGGAAACCAAAATATGCCACCACAAAATATTCCACTACATTTTTAAAAGTTTATTTATTTATTTTGAGAGAAAGAGAACACAAGCAGGCTAGAGGTAGAGAGGGAGAGAGAGAATCCCAAGTTGACAGTGAGGAGCCCGATGTGGGGCTCGAACTCACCATCCTGACCTGAGTCGAAATCAAGAGTGGGACTCTTAACAGGATGAACCACACAGGCACCCCTGCCATTACATTTTGAAGCAGCTTTTATCAACTGAGAAAAACAATCAGTATTCCTCCTCATATGTAGATTGATTATTGATGCAGAATTACTGGTTTAACACTAATCTTTTGTGAGTTTGGTTTGTATAGGTCATCATCTCCCCACTGTCTGCTCATCCCAGGTGCACTGAAAAATTGCAAACCTGTGGTGCTGCTCTTGGCACAGGATGACCAACCTAGATTCATTGGCTACTCATTGAGGCCAGACCTCTAGGACTAGGAGCACAGCCACCTCGCTGAAAATGTTCATACCTTGGTCTTTTCTCTGATTGTTTCAGGACTGGAGTCTTTCAACAATGCAAGAGGCTGAAGAACAGAAGGTGCTTTAGTGTTTAGTATTTCTCCTCCCCATACCTGCCTGAGGCAAAATTATATGAAGTGAAGATTTATCTTTCTCTGAATCTCTCTTCCCCATTTAGCAAACAGAATTCTCGTGGACTCTGCTTACTTGTGTCCTCAACAGTTCATTTTGCAATTCACTTCCTCTTTCCTCCAACAAAATTTAAGTCTTAAGACCCATTCTTGAAGGTTGCATTTTAAAGTCCTGTATTGGACTCTATTTCTCTGCCTAGTGAAAATGGTTATTATCAGGTAAACTCATTTCTGTGATTATCTTCTACTTAATGTATTATTCCTCAAGAAACATAATGCCTTAACCTATCCAAAATGCATGCATTTCCTTAGAGATATGTTTGATGAATGAGTCCAGTAACACACACCTTAACCTTACACTCAGCACAAATCATATCCAAGCATAATCTGCATCACACACCCTGTAACACCTATACTAGTCACAGAACACATACTCTGCACATATAGCATGTATAAATTTCGTACACATTGGAATGATATAATTTATTTAAGGAAGGGAAGATCATTTAGCTCGGGGAGGTGCAAGGAGAGTCATTATCAGGAAAATCCCTGGTTCAGTAAAAAAGAAAAGCCATAAGAGGTAAATCTTAAAAAAAAAAAAAAATGTAAGAGCAAATCAGGTAAATGAGGCCAGAAAGGTATTCAGGGTAGAGAAACAATGCAGGCAGTTTTAATATCAAGAAACCTTGTGGTACATAACTCCAGTCGTGAGAAAACATTGGCACATACACGCAAGGAAGCAGTAGCCAGCGCTGTTGATGTAGGCATCAGGCTACCACTTGGGAAGTAATGGGCACTCTACTAAAACCTGGGGGTGTGGGTAGACTTTCTAATTTTTGATGTCTAACAATTGGATGTCCTCTATGCTGTCCACATACCCATTCATGCCACAGTGGAATTCAATGTAGCTGTAGCTGCTATGTTCTCTGTAGCTCTTTTTGTTACTCTCCTGGTAGCACTGGAGGATTTTGAAGGGATGCTGGGCCCATATGTATACATTTCTGTAACGATCTCTCCACTTCCTGAGGCATATATGCTCGATTTTGTGCCACAAGGTATAGATGAAGGTGTGATAGTTCCTGTCTTTTGGAGCTCCTCTTTCCCTCATGAGATCATCGCATTTGTAGTCGCTGAATTTCCAGCTTGTGCTCAGGTAGTGCTGCTTCATGAATTCCCTCCAGGAAAGGTTCTGGCTGTGTATAAGCAGCCCACATAGGGGAAACAGCAGGGCCAAGATAGGGCCAAGGACCTTTAGAGAGGATGCCATCTCAGTCACCAGGGCCACCTGTGAGTCCACAGCAGGGAGAGAGGAAAGCATTATTTCAGCTGCCCTAAGAGCTGACCTCCAACTTAAAATTCCTTCCCTGCCAGTGTAGGCACTTGGGCCCAATTTTATCATTTTGTTCCCAGGCTTGAAGGTGATGAATCTCGTTAGATAATAAAGTTTATGAGAACTGAAATTGTGCTAGAGCCTGAGTGAGACAAACACAAAATTGTAAAAAATAGGTGGAGTTTATTTTGAGGATTTCAAACACCTCCTGTCTGCCCTCTCTTCCACTCCAACCAATCACCCTCTAGCTAATTCTGTCTTACGGTGCGGATCAGTTCTCAGAAGAGCGTGAGTCTGAAAAAAAAATGGCATTTTAAGCTGTATGGCTGTGAAGTGGAAAGGATTGCCACCTTTTAAGGGAATGCAGAAGATGAGTGAAGACTTGGGTGATATTTTCCAAGCAAGAAGGCTTTGGTTCCCTCAGACCCCAGGCTACAGTTACACTGATTCTGCAAGATGGTGTTTATCTAATCCTGCCTTCCTTATAACACTTCCCCAAAGCCTGTTATCACTTCTGACTACCCACATACCTTCTCAGAGGCCGTTTACCTAGTTATCATAGTTATAAACAGTCTTGATCTATTGTTAAGAATGCCATCATATAGGAGCTCCAGTTCTGAAATACCATTTTAATCAATCCTGTACTAAGATTGAAACTACCCTCACAGGAGCTACCCTGGCCAAAATTAAGGCATAGAGGTGTGTGAAAAAGTTTCCCCTTTAAACCAGCTCTCTGTCCTCATTTACCATGGGGAGTGGAGCTGGCCCTATGGAATCTCTAACCTGATTCTCAACTCTCTGAGCACTTGTGTCCTCAAATCTGCCTAATAATAGCTGCCTCACAGACTTGTGAGGGACTCTAACAAGATATGCATGTGAGAGCCCTTCTGAGAATGTTGTAGGAACACAGGGTAGGCCACCCTAAAAGGTGTCACAATAGTATATTGATTGTTTTGAATTGAAGCTACTTGGAAAACAGCCAGTACAAGGACACTCAGACCCTCCTCTGTCCCCCTAAAAGCAGAAAATGAATCTCATATGAAAGGTACCCTCCTTATACTAAGAAATAAAAAGATATTCTTATCACCAAAGATAGAGATTTTACTTGCTTAAAATTATTTTTAAAGTAGGTTCTAGGGGCGCCTGGGTGGCGCAGTCGGTTAAGCCTCCGACTTCAGCCAGGTCACGATCTCGCGGTCCGGGAGTTCGAGCCCCGCGTCAGGCTCTGGGCTGATGGCTCGGAGCCTGGAGCCTGTTTCCGATTCTGTGTCTCCCTCTCTCTCTGCCCCTCCCCCATTCATGCTCTGTCTCTCTCTGTCCCCAAAATAAATAAACGTTGAAAAAAAAAATTAAATAAAAAAAAAAAGTAGGTTCTATGCCCAACGTGGGACTCGAACTTTTAACCCTGAGATCGAGAGTTGCATGCTCCACTAACTGAGCCAGCCAGGCACCCCACCAGAGATTGGAATTTTAAAGCCAAGTAAGCTGAATAAACAAACTTTATTCCTTTTTACAAATCTATTTCAGCCCAGATTCTGCTTAGAATTCCTTACTAATTGGAACTCCCAAACATTTGTTTTCTCTCTCCTGTCAATTCCTCACAAATGTATTGTCTCACTATTTAAAATGTATAAAAGCTGCCTGCCTCAGTCATTTACTTGGGGTCTCCATTTCATTACTGGGCCTCCATGTGCACATAATAAAACTTTGGTGTTTTTCCCTCCTGCTAAATCTTATTTCATTTTAATTCTTAAACCAGTTGGAAGTATCTTGAAGGATGGAAGGAAATTTTTTTCCTCCCCTATTGTGTAAAGTGCTACATCGAGCATAGAAGACAGAACAGGCACTTGCTCATTTCTGGCACCCTATACCTGGCCAAAGGTCCTAACCAGGATAAAAGATCAGGATTCAAGTTGCTTCAAAATATTATGCTTGGAAAGATTGGAGGGGTTGACAGGACAGACTGTATCAGTGGGATTACTCCTGAGTTGAATTCAGGTCTTTGCTCCTTACAAACTGGATCACTTTCCAATCTTAACTGTACCGTCTAGAAGTTCAGTCAGGCCCCTTCCAGTGTTTCTGGGCCTTTCCCCTCAAGCATCCTCAGCACCAACCCTAAATCTAACTCACCCTGTTCAGATCCAACACTCATGTGTCACTGGTGGTGGAAATCAGTATGTGGATCTGAAGAGCAGAGAGCCAAGAAGTCTGTGGCAGTGAAGAGAGGAATAGCAGTGAGAGGTACAGCACTCCACCGATTAATAGTGGGGGTGGGGAGAGAGGGAACAGACTTACTAAGTGAACCTGTTCCTGTACCTTCTCGTCTAGAACACTTGGGTTCACTCTGAGAATAGCCTGGAGCAAAGGTGTCCAACATCAAAGACTCACTTGAGGGCACAAAGGAATGGCAAGGGTCTGGGGAGAGGTAATACTGAAGAGGGGTTGTCTGGAGTTATCAGGAGACAATCAGAGATTTATCTCCTAAATTCACATCCCAAAAAACCTCTGGGGAAAATTCCCCGGATGACTAGGCTATGGTCTATGGGAACATCAGTGAAAAACAAAACAAAACACCTCTGGAGTTGTGAACTGTGGAATCTTCATTGAGAGATACAGAGGGTATGTAGTCCAAGGTGCAATTTATGGATAAAGTGAGATCCTTGAATGTGCTTTCCATTAATGAATTTTTTTAACCTTTTTTAATGTTTATTTGTTTTTGAGAGAGGGAGAGAGAGAGAGAGAGAGAGAGCGAGAGAGAGAGAGAGAGAGAGAGAACACGAGCAGGGGAGGGGCAGAGAGAGAAGGAGACACGGAATCCAAAGCAGGCTCCAGGCTCTGAGCTGTCAGCACAGAGCCTGACATGGGTCTCAAACTTGCAAACCATGAGATCATGACCTGAGCCAAAGTTGGATGCTTAACCGACTGAACCACCCAGGCGTCCCTATCAATGCATTTCTTTGAGGGCTACTCCCAGCTAAGCCACCTTGGTTGAGTTTCTCACTGGGCCACTTTATCATCAAATTGTCATGAAGGGTAGCAAAGCATGCCACTCCAAATTATACCTCTTTGGCATAAGGATTATTTAAGCTGGTTATTTTATTTTATTTTTTTTAAAATTTTTTTTCAACGTTTTTATTTATTTTTGGGACAGAGAGAGACAGAGCATGAACGGGGGAGGGGCAGAGAGAGAGGGAGACACAGAATCGGAAACAGGCTCCAGGCTCTGAGCCATCAGCCCAGAGCCTGACGCGGGGCTCGAACTCACGGACCGCGAGATCTTGACCTGGCTGAAGCCGGACGCCTAACCGACTGTGCCACCCAGGCGCCCCTAAGCTGGTTATTTTTAAGAAGCCACAAGCCCAGGAGAAGCTCTGAAACCCGGGAGTGGCAGTTACCCTTTTGTAAGGGACATTTAGGAAATCTCCATTTGTGAGAGTATCTCACTCTTAGTACCAGGAAGAGAAGGCTGACTCGAAATCACAAGAAACTCTTACCAATGGAGAAGGCATAGACTTAAATATACACAACAAACCTTAACTTTGTTTGCTGCGCTTTTCCTCATAACCTCCCTTAACTGGCCTCCCCACTCCCACTGCAATATCTTTCTTTTGTCCTTTTTTTTTTTTTTTTTTTAACATTTATTCACTTTGAAAGACAGAGAGAGAGCGAGAGAGAGAGCACTAGAGGTGCAGAAAGAGAGGGAGACACAGAATCCAAAGCAGTCTCTGAGCTGTCAGCACAGAGCCCGACACAGGGCTCAAACTCACAGACTGCAAGATCATGACCTGAGCTGAAGTCAGACGCTTAACCGCTTAACCGACTGAGCCACCCAGCACCCATTTCCTTTGTCTTTAGCTGAAGATGGTATTTAAGGTGGTGGCTTGACTCATTTTGGTAAGTTTTACTCAGTTTTTCTGACTATCCACAATATATACAAGAGATACACATGTTGTTGAATTTCTGTATGTTTTTCTTTTGTTAATCTGTTTTTATTACAGAGGTAATAAAAGAACCTAGACAGTGTCAACCAAAAATTGTAAGGAGGCAATGATTAAGCAAAAGCATTTATTTGAGATCCAGAATTGTAATTTGGGGTGATCTGATCACACAACCCAAATAGTGTCCCACAAGAGAGCAAAAGTCAGGGATTTTAGAGACAAAAGGGGAATGCTGTTATACATTGTTTACAAAGAATTTTGATTGGTGTTGTTGAAAGAAAACTAATATTGGCTAAACATAATTGGTTGCTAAAGCTATCACTATGCAAAGGTCCAATTGATACTGTAGCAAGTTGCAGGTGTTCTGCAGAGTCTTTAGAGTATTTATGAGTTGACCCAGTTCAAAAGTTCATGACTCCACCAAATGAGGACATACATAAAGGCCACCTCCTTAATGGTCTCCCTGCTCCATTTTACCCACCCCCTTGACCCAAGTGACTATTTATTTTTGTTTTCAAGTAAACTCTACCCCCAATATGAGGCTCAAACTCCTGACCCTAACATCAAGAGTCACAATATGTATCAACTGAGCCAGCTAGTCACCCCATAAGTGACTTTATTTTATTTCACTGCTCACAGAGAGTAAAGGGAAATTTTTTGTTGTTGTTGTTTTATAGTCATCACGTTCAGTTCATACCCAGAGCTTATCTTCAAAGCACATTAGTAGCAATGCCATCCTGGTATATAGTGTCCTGATCTTCTCTTTGAATGGGAGCTATGTCATTAGGATTAGGTAGAGAAGTATTGGCACTTATAGAAACACATTTGGATTTACAGAAACTCTGGTGTACCTCAAAGCCCAGCTCATGTCAAGTTTCCCTTGAATAATTGGTAATCGTGTGCTGAGAGACTGAATGGGAGTTGTCTCAGGGCGTACTGCAAATCCAATTACTCTCTAGTATTTTTGGGTGAAGAGGGGGAGTAAAAAGGCAGGAATTT